GACTACAGGTGCCTGCCACTATGCCCGACTTATTTCACCATGTTAGCCAGGATGGTCTTGATTTCCTGACCCCGTGATCCGCCCGCCTCAGCCTCCCAGAGTGCTGGGATTACAGGCATGAGTCACTGCACCCGGCCAACTTTTTTATTTTTTGTAGAGAGGGAGGCCTTGCTATGTTGCCCAAGTTGGTTTCAAACTCCTGGGCTCAAGTGACCCTCCCACCTTGGCCTCCAAGGGATGGGATTACAGGCATGAGCCACTGTGCCTAGCGAGGTATTTCTTTATAGCAACATAAGAACAAATGACTACATGGCACTTCAAGCATTCTGGCTCATGCTCAAAAATGAGATCCGAAGATTTTTATTTTTTGAGTTCCACAAGGCTTTGGTTATCTGAGCATTTGTAAAGTGGGAGTGGGGAGAGCAGCAGTGTTTATCTTTGCTTAGTCTGCTCCATACACGTTTCTCCAAACTGAAAGCCTACAATTCTTTTTATTTTTGTAGAGACAGGGTCTCACTATGTTGCCCAGGCTGGAACTCCTAGGCTCAAGTGATCCTCCTGCCTCAGCCTCCCAAAGTGCTGAGATTACAGGCATCAGCCACCATGCTGGGACTGGAAGCCTACAATTCTAAATTGTACTGATTAATATATATAGAGAAAAAAAGGAATAAATGAAATTTAGAATCAAATGATTATAATGAGACTGGAAAACAATTATTTGAAATCTGACAGTTTATATATTGAAACAAAATAAAAGCATTTATAAAGTCCTGGAAGTAATTTAAAATAAAAAGAATATTGGCCGGGTGCGGTGGCTCAAGCCTGTAATGCCAGCGCTTTGGGAGGCCAAGGCGGGTGGATCACTAGGTCAGGAGTTCGAGACCAGCCTGGGTAACATGGTGAAACCCCGTGCACCTGTAGTCCCAACTACTTGGGAGGCTGAGGCAGGAGAATCGCTTGAACCCAGGAAGCAGAGGTTGCAGTGAGCCAAGATCGCACCACTGCACTCCAGCCTGGGCGACGGAGTGAGACTCTGTCTCAAAAAAAAAAATACATATATATATATATAGGTCAGGTTTAGTGCCTCACGTCTGTAATACCAGCACTTTGGGAGGCCAAGGCAGGAGGATCACTTAAGGCCAGGAGTTCAAGACAAATCTGGGCAACAAAGTGAGACCTCCATTTCTACAAAATAAAAATTTAAAAATTAGCTGGGCATAGTGGCTTGTGCCTGTAGTCCTGACTACATTTATTTAATGATCACTGAGAATATTCTAGGCTAGTGTTGAGTGTGGTGCATGGGCAATCTGTGTCAGAATTCCTTTAGGTGCTTCCGACTGAATTAGAAGCTCCAGGGCCCGGAAATCCGCATTTTAAACTTGCTCTGTAGGCGATTTGGATTCACACTAAAGACTGAGGACCACACTGTTCTAGGCACTGTTAGGTGCTGGGACCTAACACGAAACAAGGTAGACGTGGTTCCTGACTTCCCAGTATACTTATATAGGGGCTGGGGGACAGCTCATTAGTGATATGGGTGCTAGAATGGAAGAAGGAAGATCACATAGCAGGTGCACCTAGTTCAGACTGAGGAGGGTACCAAAGTCGAAACTGGAGGAGGGATCTGCAGCTCTAGAGATATCTGTACTTCAGGGAAATATGGGAGCTGTCAGCTGGTGGAGACGAAGGGCAGCCGTGACCGTGAACAAAATGGCCAGGAGGAAGGCATCGTGTGTGAAGCGGGCTAAGGACCGAATTGTGAAAGACCCCAAACCACCCAGCCTTCCATCCCCTAAGATATCTGTCTTTGCCTTCGCTGGCCCTTTCGCCCGTCCCTGATCCCTCAGAGAGACCCTCTGCGGAATACGCCCTCGCCCAGGGTCGCGGAGCAGCGCACTAACATCCTGTCGCTTCGGGACAGTCTTCCGGCTCTCAGCCTCCCCAAGCAAGGCGGGGTTAAGCTCGACCCAGGCGCTCCCCGGCTGCCAGGAGACAGCGCCGGACGCGCCAGCCCTGCGTGATGACGTCAGCGCGCCGCGCGCGCCGAGGGAGGAGCGGGCGCCGTGGGCCGGCTGGCGCGGGGGCTCCGGTAATACGGGCTGGGCGGGGGAGAGGAAGGGGCGGGGCAGGGAGTCCGCCAGAGTGCGGGGTCGCGGTCCGGACCCGGAGCACGAGCCCTAGAGCCTCTCAGCACTCGTCGCTTCTCCTAGCAGACCCCACCCGGCCTGGCGATGGAGTTTCCGGACCTCGGGGCTCACTGTTCGGAGCCGAGCTGTCAGCGCTTGGGTGAGGGGCGGAGCGTGCGGGGGGCGCGGCCCAGCGGAAAGGGACTTTGAACCGCAGGTGGGGAGGGAAGGGTGGGTTCCCAGGCTGGCAATGCCGGGGGGCGGGGCTTGAAGTTGGGGGGGGGGTCAGGGGCAGAGGGGGCGGGGCCAAGGAGGTAATGGACTTGGGAAGGGGCGGTGTGTCGCAAATAGGATGGTGTTTTCCTTCCGCTGAGTGGAAGGCTTGAGTGAGAGAGAAGGACATCGAGGTCCCCCTGTACCTGCAATCCGACCAACTCTCTGCAGATTTTCTGCCGCTTAAGTGTGATGCCTGCTTAGGCATCTTCTGCGCAGACCATGTGGCCTACGCCCAGCATCACTGTGGATCTGCTTACCAAAAGGTGAGGGGGCGATCCTCAGGGTGAAAACGGGCAGATGGAGAATGCGTGCAGAATCCCCCAAATCCGTGTCTTACATTTCTTCTCCCTTTTGTCTTTCTGAGGCTGTCAGTGCTGGGAAACACTGTTTTTTTGAGTGTTTGTGTTGGGTCCTATCCAAGTTCTTTCAGGACCAGAGATTTGTTGGACTGGGGTGGGCCACACACTGACCCTTGCTCCTTGACTATAGGATATCCAGGTACCTGTGTGCCCTCTCTGTAATGTGCCTGTGCCTGTGGCCAGAGGGGAGCCCCCTGACCGTGCTGTGGGAGAGCACATTGACAGAGACTGTCGCTCTGATCCAGCACAGCAAAAACGTAAGGTAAACATTGTAGGGGTCGGAACTACGGATGCCTGGAAACCCAAACAGCTAGTCAGAGTCTCAGCAGGGACAACCTTCTCACTTCACCTCAGATCTTTACCAATAAGTGTGAGCGCACTGGCTGCCGGCAGCGAGAAATGATGAAACTGACCTGTGAACGGTGTAGCCGAAACTTCTGCATCAAGCACCGGCACCCACTGGACCATGATTGCTCTGGGGAGGGGCACCCAACCAGCCGGGCAGGGTAATTGCAGCCAAGTCTTCTACTTGCCTTTGGGACTATTGCATTCTTTTGGAACTGACTCAAGCTCTGTCGTTACAAATTGGGGAGCTTCAACCATATCCCTGTCGGCTAGGGGAGTCTTTTAGCTTCCTTTTCAAGTGCATGTTTTTCCAGAATTCCCCTCCTGAATTCCTGGGTAAGGCTGGTTCTTGGAGACATGCCAACAATATCTTTCCCTACAGACTTGCTGCCATCTCCAGAGCACAAAATGTGGCTTCTACAAGCACTGTCCCCAGCCCAAGTCGAACCATTCCTTCCTGTCCCTCTCCCAGCAGGTAGGCCTGCCCGTTTCCCTGCTCCCTGTTTTTCCCTTTCACACCTCTGACCTCCACCTCTTCAATGTTTGGTCATAGAGCCACAACCCAGTCTCCATCCTGGACAGCCCCTCCAGTGATTGCTTTGCAGAATGGCCTGGTGAGTTGGGCAGAGGTTGGATGGACAGAAACAAACACACAGAGAGTGAAGTCCAAGGACACTGGTCTTCTTTCTCCCTTTGCAGAGTGAGGATGAAGCTCTGCAGCGGGCCCTGGAAATGTCCCTGGCAGAGACCAAACCCCAGGTTCCAAGGTATGCTACCCTCTTGAGAAAGGGCAAGCTGTGGGCAAGGGTTTGATCTGGAGGGAGGTAGGTGGGACCACTCTGACACAATGCAAGATAATTGCTGGCAACTTGGGCTCAAAATTAAGATGAACTGTATCATCCTTGACAAGTTATTTAACCCATGGAGCCTTCATTTCCTCTATAAAAACGGGGACAATACTAACACCCACCTTGTAGTGTTGCTATGAAGATTGAGATAATCCCCAGCAGTGCTCGGCACCGTGAGGCCCGACACACACAGAGCAGATGTTCAAATTTTAGATCCTACCATCATCCAACTTAAACTGTTCCTCCCTCCCAGTTGTCAGGAGGAAGAAGACCTAGCTTTAGCACAAGCACTGTCAGCCAGTGAGGCAGAATACCAGCAGCAGCAGGTATGAGGCTGGGGTGAAGATGGGTGCTGCAGTGGGAGGGAGGAAGAAGTCAGGGATGGGGGTTCTTCTGAGTGGTGCAGAGTTTTGGAATGGTGGTTGTCCTTTGGTTTTCAGTATGACTCCAGCCTGTGCTGAGCTCTGAAATGAGGGTCGTCCCCTCATTTCCTTGACGTTGCACCCTGTCTTCCCTTCCTTCCCCTCTCCTTGCTCCAGGCCCAGAGCCGCAGCTCGAAGCCATCCAACTGCAGCCTGTGCTAGGGCCCTGGGCTTGGGGAGGGAGGTTCACCTGAGGAGGACTGTGGCCCTCACACCTCTAGGGTACACAGGGAGAGGCGGCCCGGAGTAGCCTGGAGGGCAGAGACAAGCGAGAGTGATGTGGAGGTCGCCCTGGGAGCCTCTGGAAGGCCTTGCTAGTGTTCCAGCTGCATGGGAGAGAGCAGCTAGCAACTGTTGCCTGGTTGGGCCCTCGGTGGATGCTGGCCAGGCCCTGCTCTCAGTCCTATCATCATGTCATCTCCCTTTTGCTGGAGCTGCCCTGACATGGAGTGGGCAGGAAGGGTCCTGGAGAAAATAAAGGATCTTGGCAGTTGATAGGATATACAAGTGGTGTGTTTCTCTCTCCTCTCTAACCTCAAACAGAAAAGCCGCATCAACAATGCTCACCTGACATACGGGTAGAGGCCCACTGCAGTACCCCACCCCACAAAGCCACAGTGATCCTCACACAGGCCACATTTTTATTTCCCCAAAAGGTGTTTTTCTGAAAGGTCCCTTTCCCTTACTATAGCTAGCACCGCACCCCAAGACCAGGATGAAATAAGCTAGGGAAGGGGCGTACATCTTATTCCCTTCTGGGTTAGTCTTTGAGAGGGAAGTGGCCAAACTTTTGTCATCGTTCCATGGTCTGAGGCATAGTGTCTTCAGAGGTTTCTTCCTGTCCCTGCTGCTGCAGCTGCCACATGTCAGCATACACCCCACCTCGGGACAACAGAGCCTCATGCCTGGGGTGAGGAGGAAAGTGAGTCCCAACCATCAGTTTTACCCCAAGGGTCCTTGCCGCCAGCCCGCAGAGAGGATGGGATGGGCAAGGGAGGTCCCCTCCAGAAGCCTCTGGGACTTCACGCCCCCTTTCCTGGAGCTCTCAATTCAGAAGACCTGTCCTTTTGATCTATGTCTCTTACCGTCCCCTCTCCACGATGCAGCCATCCTTGATGACGAGGATCTGGTCAGCATTGACCACAGTTGAGAGCCTGAGAAGTCAAAGATCAGTTGCCTACTACCCCACCCAAAGCGGCCACACTGCCAGCCGCCCCAGGCCTGTAGTCCTGTACCTGTGTGCCACTACGATGGTAGTGCGGTTGGCACAGACTTTGGCCAGAGAAGCCTGGATGGCCCTCTCATTAGATGTATCCAGCGCTGACGTTGCCTGTAGAGAGGGTCCAGGTAAAACTGTTCCTGCCACTCAAAACCCCAATGGAAGGAGGAGGCAGGCTGCTGGCTGAGGCCTCAAGAATATACAAGAGCCTTGTTTGGGCTTGAGAACTGTAAAGTGTGTTTTGTGAGACGTGGATTCATGATATCTGTTCTAGGTGGGGACAGTGCCCAGCAGGAATGGCTTGAGCATACATAAGGGAGGAAGGAGGGGAGGAGACCCAGGGCGCACCTCATCCAGCAGAATGATGTCCGGAGCCTTGAGGATGGTGCGGGCAATGGCGACGCGCTGCTTTTCCCCACCGCTCAGCTTCAGTCCCCGCTCACCCACCTGTGTCCTGTACCCTGTGGATATTACCCACCACACGTTTCTTACGTGGAAGAAACAAGAAACGGAGGGAACAGGGGTCAGAGATTAACAGGACAACACCAGGAGGGGAGGGGACTCTCTGCAAAGGAATCTTACCTTCAGGGAAAGCCATAATGGCATCATGGATGCCTGCAGCCTGAGCAGCAGCCTCCACCTCATCATTCCCAGCTGTGACACGGCCGTAACGGATATTGTCAGCGATGGTGTCATTAAAGAGAACAGTATCTTGGGGCACAACTCCAATGTGAGACCGGAGAGAGGCCTGGGTCACCTAGGGCCAAAAGACCACACAATCTGCCTTGTGAGATACCCCCAGGGCCTGGGAGGGAGGGTGGGCTGGCCAGAAGCACATGGGATAAGAGGCCCTGTTAAGAATCCCACCATCACTGCCCCAGACCTTAGCCGTGTGGGCAAATCACTCCTCTGTGTTTCCCCATCTTCTCTTCCTGCTTCACCAGATTGCTGCCAATGTTTGGTTTCGTTTTGGGATAGAGTCTCACTCTGTCACCCAGGCTGGATTGCTGTGGCAAAATCTCGGCTCACTGCAGCCTTGACCTCCTGGGCTCACGCAATCCTTCCACCTCAGCTTCCTGAGTAGCTAAGACCACAGGTGCTTGCCACTATGTCAAGCTAATTTTTAATTTTTTGTTGAGATGGGGTTGTCGGGATATGCTGCCCAGCCTGGTCTCAAAATCCTGGACTCAAATGATCCTGCTGCCTTGACCTCCCAAAGTGTTGGGATTACGGGTGTAAGCCACCACACTTGGCTACAGAAGATCTTTGTACCTTTGTTTTTGTGTGTGTGTGTGTGTTTTTTGTTTTGAGACAGGGCGTTGCTCTGTCACCTAGGCTGGAGTGCAGTGGCATGATCACAGCTCACTACAGCCTCCTGGTGGGACTACATGTGTGCGCCAGCATGGCCAGCTAATTTTTGTATTTTTTGTAGAGAGGGTGTTGTGCCATGTTGCCCAGGCTGGTCTTGAACTCCTGGGCTCAAGTGATCCACCTGCCTCGGCCTCCCAAAGTGCTGAGATTACAGGCATGAGCCACCTTTGTAGCTTTTATGGCACCACACAAATCCTTCATAGGACTACTTTACTTGTGTGACTGTAGGTTATATCATGCTAGAATGGCCCTATTTTGTTGCAAGGGTGACATCTACTCTCTCTGGACACCCAGCCCTTATCATTCCTCCACACACAGACCCCTAAACTACAGTCTTCTCCTGAGCAACCTTACCTGTGAAATGTCCTGCCCGTCTATTCGGATGCAGCCAGAGCTGATGTCATAGAAGCGAAACAGCAGGCGCAAAATTGTGCTCTTCCCTGCCCCAGATGGGCCCACCTGTTGCAATGGAAACAGTGGAAAAAATCTCAGGGCCACTGGCTTTTTTTTCTTTTTTTTTGAGATCGAATCTCACTGTCACCCAGGCTGGAGTGCAATGGCACAATCTCAGCTCACTGGAACCTCCGACTCCCAGGTTCAAGTGATTCTCCTGCCTCAGCCTCCCGAGTAGTGGGATTATAGGCGCCCACCACCACGCCCAGCTAATTTTTGCATTTTTAGTAGAGATGGGGTTTCACCATGTTGGTCAGGCTGGTCTCAAGCTCCTGACCTTAGGTGATCTGGCCACTTAAGCCTCCCAAAGTCCTGGGATTACAGGCGTGTGCCACCACACCCGGCTGAGGCCCACTGGCTTTTAAGGTTCCCTCTCCAAGAGGTCACTGATGTCCGTGGAGGCTGCACCATTCAATCCTGTTGCCTGTCGTGACTGGGCTCTCTGACTCCACACCCTGGGTCACGAGCTACCATGGGCACTGAATGAGGGAAGCTTGAGGCATCTGGGCCAAGTGGCTGAGTCTCCTCTCACCAGGGCCAGTGTCTGTCCAGGCATCACAGTGAAAGACACGTCCTGCAGAGTCTCCTGCCTACAAGGAAGGGTGGTTGCTCAGCAGGCGCCTTCCATCACCAGAGCTGCTAGTAGGCCCTGCCCCTCCCCTGCCCAGGCTCTTTTCCAAAAGCAGGGATTCAGAGCAGTGAGAGGCAGGAAGGCAGTGTGCAGAAAAGCACAGAAAAGCAAAGGAAGGCCTCACCCATCGGCGTAGCTGAAGTGCACGTTCTCAAACTCAATTCGGCCCTTCTGAAAGCGAAGGGGCCCTGCTCCAGGAAGGTCCTTCACCTGGAAGGGCACCACCCATGTGTGCTGAGGTTCTCAGCTTTGTATTTTCCAAGCACAAGAAACACCACACAGCTCCTCCTTCCCCAAATCCTACTCCTCTCCCTTCACTCACTTCTGTCTCCTCTTTAAGCAAGTCAAACATGTTCTCCATGTCAATGAAGTTGGTCTGGATCATCCTGCAAAAAGGTGCTGGTTAGGACTTCTCTGAGTAGCCAGGAAATAGTAATGTGCCCTGGACAGGTGAGGGCCAGGGCTCAGATTACCTGTAGTAGGTGCCAAACCAATTGAGGGGCATGTACAGCTGGATGATGTAGGTACCAAAGAGCACATAGTCCCCAACCTGTGGCGATCAAGGAAGCGGACCACGTCACGGGAGGCCTGCAGGCTGCTCTTCTTGTGTCACCCTGCCCACTTCCTAGCCAAGAGCCTGGTGGCCCAGACACAGGCCCCAGGCCCCCTTTTCCTTGTGCCCCACTCTCTCATCCAAGATCCTGCCTCACCTGTAGTTTCTGCTCACTGACAAAGTATGCACAAAGCAGGGAGCCGGCGAGGAGCCCAAGCCCAATCACCAGGTTCTGGGTCTGATTTAGTAAAACCAGTGAAGCGTTGGACTTCCACTCCAAACCCTGAGGGCAGTAACACAGGAAGAGGAATGTCCTATACACGATGGCCATCAGTGAGTCCAAACCTGGGCCCAGGCCCCTTCCACCCCAACACTCGACTATTACTCCTGGCCCTGAAAATTCTACCAGGCCAGGGCATTATTCTCTGGAGGCCTCAAACTAGCATCCTCACCTGATATTTGATGATGGCCTCTCGATAGCGTTCCACTTCATAACTCTCGGCGTTGTAATACTTCACCTGATGAATTCAAACCAAAATTATTTGGTATGGGCACAACACATGGCACTCGGGTCATTCCCCCCAACTCTCAGTCCTCCTTCCTTATTTCAAACATCACACAAACATCACACCCCCAGCTCTCTGTCAGCCCCAGTGGTCCTAGCCACACTCCTCCACATCTCCACACCTTACACCACTGCCACTGGGGCCTCTGTTACCGTCTCAAAGTTTAGCAGAGAGTCCACTGCTCGTGCCCGGGTAGCATTTTCCTGTGTGTTCATAGCGCGGCGAAACTTGGTTCTCCACTCAGTGACCACAATGGTCAGGGCTGGCGGGTGACAGGATGGGGAACAGAATAGGACATCATCCCCAAAAGCAGAGACCAAATGTCAATGTCCACTACCTGCCATGTACACACTAAACCTATGCTCAAGCCCAGAGACCCAGATTCCACAGGGAGGCATCTCTGCAACCTGCACAAAGCCTCATGTGTAGAAAACGCTTTTGGTAAACAAATGAAAGCAAGCTGCATCTTGTTACACAAATGAGGCTTCCTTGACCTGTGTCCACAGTGCAGACTTAATGTGACAAGAATGTCCTTCCCCAGCCCCCTCAGCTAGATTGAGCTAAGGTTTGATTTGATAGAAGAGACCCGCCCATCACATGAGGAGCACCAGGAGCCCATTCAAGTCCACCAATCCAACACCTCCCATAGGTGGGTCACTTGAGTGGGGACAGAGCTCATGGCCAAGGGAGTCTCTGGATAGTTCACGGAGATGGTGTCACCCAGCAGCACTCACTGAGGTAAAGACTCATGCACAGGAACACAATGAGGCCAAACCAGGCGTTGAAGAACATGCTGAAGTAGATGATGCCAATGACGATGTCGGCCAGCGTGGGGATGACATTGAACACCAGGTAGCTAGGAGGGCAGGTCAAGTGAATAAGAAAGGTTTGGGGGCTTAAACCCAGCAACCCTGCCTCTAGACATTTCAGGGTAGTGTTTTATTTTCAAGCAACAGACTGGAACCAGTCTTAGTTGATTCTACCCTCAAGAGGTGGGTGGCTAAATCAACCATGCCCAAACTACAGAATTCTCTGTATCAATTACAATGAATGAAGGAGACCTTCAGGCATGAAAGAAAAACATATCTCCATAATGTTCTGGTAATAAGCAACTCTGAGAATGATGGCTATGTCACAATACCATTTGTTTTAGCAAAAACCTCCACGATACCATATTAGTTATGTGAGTCTGCATATATAGTATGTATGTAAAAATGCAAAAAAGCAGAACCCAGCCGGGCACGATGGCTCACAGCTGTAGTCCCAGCACTTTGGAAGGCCAGGTGGGCAGATCACGAGGCCAGGAGTTCGAGGCCAGCCTGGCCAACATGGTGAAACCCCATCTCTACTAAAAATACAACAATTAGCCAGGCACGTTGGTGCACATCCGTAATTCCAGCTATTCAGGAGGCTGAGGCAGGAGAATTGCTTGAACTTGGGAGGCAGACATTGCAGTGAGCAGAGATTACACCACTGTACTCCAGCTTGGGTGACAGAGCGTGACTCTGTCTCAAAAAAAGAGCAGAACCCAACATACTAAACAGTGGGAAGCTCTGAAGAAGTGAGGGCAGCTCGAAAGAGATTTGCCCTCTGCCTGCATTACCTGAGTTATTAGGAGGGCATGTATACAATAATCCTATGATTTAAAAAACACTAAGGTGGGAGGGGCAGCTCCTCAGGCAAGGTCTGTTCTCTTCCTCCTACAGGCCCCTCTCCCTGCTTCTCTGGCTCCACCCTCCCACATGCCCTTTCCACTGGGGTGGCACCTGAGCAGCCCTGTGACACTGGATGTGCCCCGATCCGCGATCCGCAGCACCTCCCCTGTGCGGCGCCCCAGGTGCCAGCGCAGTGAGAGCTCATGCAGGTGGGAGAAGATGCGCAGCTCCACCCGCCGAGATGTGAACTGCTGCACCCGGATCCACAAGAAGGTGCGCAGGTTGCTCACGAAGCCTGTAGGGAGCCAGGGGAGGCCTCAGTAGGGCCTGGGAGCTGAGGGATGTCAGCCCAGCACCAGGAAGTGAAAGGTCTGAGAGCACACGGGGGCTGGGGAGGAATGCTGACGGAGGTGGATGGTGAGGGAATGCCTGTGGGAAGGGACTGTACCTAGCAGGGTGAGGGCAGAGTCTCTCATACCTGTACTGCCAGTGCCACCCCCCTGGAGGAACTTGAGGAAGACGTAGCTGGTAACAGTCCAGGCCAGAGAGCTCCAAGGTGCCTTCTCAGTCAGCAAGTTCACTGTGGAGAAAATGGGTCAGAGCCCACTTATGGCACCCAGGACTCTCTTCAGGCAAAATGGCCCCAGGTACCAGCCACAGCCTCTTTCTGACCACCCAGCTCTGTCCCACCTCCCTAGGTAAGGACCACCCCAGCCACCAAACTGATGAAGGACCAGCACACTGAGCTGGTGCTCCTCCTGCTCACCAATGTTCCTATAGAATATAGGCACCAACACGTTGAGTGCCCTTTCCAAACCCATGAGCCCCAGGCAGATGAGCACCACCAGCTGCAGAGCTGGACTCCCTCGAGGCCACAGGTAGCCACTCAGGAGGCGGAGCTTCCTGCCAAAATCTCGCCAGGTAGACTGTTGGGCTGTTGACTGAACCTAGGATGGTGAAACACATAGGAGGGGAGCTCAGAAATCAAGCAAGTGCACTAGCCAGAAACCCATTAGGGAAAAACATATTGGGTTATAGCTCCCAGGTATCTCAGACCCACAAGTGATCCTTGATGGGGTCAGAAAAACTAAGTTGCAAACTGATATTTGGAAAAGAAGCATTTCATTTTGCAGGGAAGGAATGATGACAGGGAATAAAATGAAGAGACTCTAGGATTCAGAAACTGAGGTGAGGCCTGGTGCAGTGGCTCATGCCTGTAATCCCAGCACTTTGGGAGGACGAGGCAGGTGGATCACCTGAGGTCAGGAGTTCAAGACCAGCCTGGCCAACACGATGAAACCCCATCTCTACTAAAAATACAAAAATTAGCTGGGTGTGGTGGTACACACCCGTAATCCCAGCTACTTGGGAGGCTGAGGCACGAGAATTGTTTGAACCCAGGAGGCAGAGGGTGCAGTGAGCCGAGATTGCGCCACTACACTCCAGTCTGGGCGACAGAGCAAGATTCTGTCTTAAAAACAAAAAGAGGCTGGGTGCGGTGGCTCACGCCTATAATCCCAGCACTTTGGGAAGCTGAGGCAGGCGGAACACGAGGTTAAGAGATCAAGACCATCCTGGCCAACGCTGTGAAACCCTGTCTCTACTAAAAATACAAAAATTAGCTGGGCATGGCGGCATGCGCCTGTAGTCCCAGCTACTCAGGAGGCTGAGGCAGGAGAATCGCTTGAACCTGGGAGGCAGAGGTTGCAGTGAGCCGAGATTACGCCACTGCACTCCAGCCTGGTGACAGAGCAAGACCCTGTCTCCAAAAAAAAAAGAAACTGAGGTGTACCTGGCTCCTTTCCACATCTTGGTCCTCTTCATGAACCTGCAATGTATAGGACTGGGGACGAAGTCCAGGGGCCCAGAGACCCAGGACAAACAGCCCTCCAGAGACCACATACCGCAGCACCCACAGGCTAAACTGAACCTAGAAGGAAATATAAGTGGAGAGAGTATCATTGAGAATAAAATTTCATTGTATTACTACTTATAATAGGGCCAGGGACTGGTGTCAGGAACACATGCAGCACTTACAGGCTTAAAAAAAAAAAAAAAAAAAAGCAAAACCACAGTGACTCAGCAAAGGCACACCCCACCAGCTGGCTATCAGCTCCCCGCAGGACTCAGCCCCTCCCTTCTCCCTTTGCTTAGAGGCATCCTAAAGCCTGGAAGCAGTGTGACTGGACAGGCAGTGCTTTCTCCCAGGCCCGGCCTGCAGAGGCTTCCCCCTCCCTACAGAGTCCCTCACCTGCTGGCCCAAGTCCGCCCTTGCCCACCACCACTGTGGGCTGTTCCAAGACACCAGTGCCAAGTTCTCGGCTGCAAACGCCACAGTCCAGAGAAGCAGGAGACCCGGGCTGTGCCTGAACTTGATCCAAATGCCCATTGCCAGACGCTGCCGTGCCTGGCTCCGCTCCACGACGAGCAGCCACAGGCCACAGGCGCCGGCCAGACTCTCCAGCACGGAGGCCAGCAGTAGGTAGCTTGGCAGTGGGGTCCCCCGGGCAGTGCCCACCCGGCCAGCCAGGCCGGCTAGGGGCAGCGCCACCTGAAATGTGGCCAGAAGCAGCTGCAGCACGTAGGGAGAGACGCGAGGGCCGGCCCCCCAAGACAGCGAATCAGTACCAGCGGGCCGCTCCCGGGGTCTGCAGGGAAGAGCCAGCACCAAGGCCAGAGCCCCCAGCGCCATCCGCGTCGAGGGCACCAGCGTGAAGAAGCAGCAGGGGCTCAGGCCATCCTGCATCCAGGCCGGACCCACGGGCCCTTCGGCCTCGCAGTAGTTGCCCACAGTCACCATGGCAATGCGTGGACGCCGGCCAGGGCTAAGGGCACTGCGGGACCAAAGGACGGGACTGATCACTCGGAGAGGGGCGAGGACATCCGGGTGCTCGGCTCACGTAGCCGCTGGGCGCTAAGCTGCGGGGGTCCCGGGAAGGGACGCACGTGGACCAGGCCTCACTGCCCACTCCCCTCGCGCACGCGCCGCCGCCACGCACTCACGCAGGGCACGTACGCCGTCTGAGCCCGGCCCCGCTCGCTCTGGGCCTGGGACCCTTCCGCCGACTGCAGGCCCACGGGAATGCTCGGTTTTGGACTCGCACCGAGCTCCACAGCTGTAGCCCCGCCCACATGACCGCCTCCAGCCCCTACCAGGGTTCCCATTGGCCAAATGTCTCCGAAGGGGGGCGGGGGAAATGGTGCACGCGAGGAATGCAAAATAGAGGGGCAGAGCCGGCTTGTTTACGTGCTCAGAGAGGGAAATCTGACCACCACGTTCGGCTGGAAACCTCCACGGAATCGTGGCTTGGGGCTGGAAACAGACCTCCACAGAACCGGGGGTCGGAAGCTGCCCTTCCGCCAGCCGCCTAGCTCAGCGTATCTGAGCAACGGCCTAAACATAACTTTCTTCTAGACCCCGGCCGAGTCCATCCCATTTCTCTTGTTCCCAGGATTCTAACCGCGCGAGACAAGAAGAAGTCTGGTCAAACTCCCTTTTTATTAAGGGTTATCAAGCTGTACACGGTCCGTACCCTGCTCCGCTCCGAGTTCGGGCAGCGCAATTCACCACTCTCCCAAAGCCGGACCACAGCTGGGTGAGGGGTGGGACAGAGTAGGAGCAGTCCCAGCATGCAGTGCAGCAGCCCAAAGCCTCGGGCGAGGCATCGCCCTTCATCCCCCTCCAGGGGACAGCGAGATGCGGGCCAGAGCTCTCTTGCTGGGACGTACACAGCTGAGGTCACCCTCCAGCCCGGTATGTCCCATGTGCAGGTAATGGGGGGTACGATAAGCAGCAATGAGGGCCCAGGAAGACCTTAGTCTCCTGGGGGCCCATCCTAAAAGTTGGAAAGGGCAGCAAAGTATTTCCATCCTGCTCCTACAATTTAGAAACCTTCTTTCTTAGTGTCAAAAGATAGCGTTGAGGGGAGCTGGAAGCTAGGGCCTTCACCCCAACGCAAAGCAAAAGCCGAACGGAATGGGAGCAAGCAAACAGAACAGGAGCAAGCAGCACACACAGGCCAGTGATGTGCAGGAAGCGGAGAGAGGTGAGCCAGTTGCAGCACTGGGCGAGAACTGCGGGTGAGGTAAGGGCCACAGCCTGACCTGCTCATCTATTGAGGGGGCTAGGGAAGGTTGCAAGGGTTGAGGGTCCAGGCCCAACCTCCCCACTCCACAGTTGGCACAGGTTCTCCCTGCTTGGCAGCTTCTGTGGTGGGCAGCCCTCTGGAGACTTGCAGGGGTAGGTGTAAAGGTGGCAGTACTGGGGCTGGGCTGGGGACCGGTTTCTAGCACCACACTCTGAGCCAAGGGGGTCCTGGGGATGAGGCTAGAGTCCTGTGTGCCCTCGGTTCCTAGGCCCCAAATTCCTCTCCTGGGGCTGTGGCAAGCGCCCAGTGTTGGCACCTCCATTGGCCAGGCACAGACACACAAACACCACACACGTGGGGCCAGGCAACACTCAGAGGAGCCCTCCCGTGGCGGAAAGACGGGATGGGATGGCAGGGCAGCGGTGGCCTCCATCCTGGGCCATAGGAACCCTGCTCAGCTTTGTCTATACCTGTGGAGAGAAAGGGTTGGTAACAGAGATAGTCTTCAGCTACTGGTTGATACCTGCTAGCCCCATAGAAACCTAGAGATAAAGGGACAGGAAAGGTTGATTCCTGGGGAGGTAAGGAAAGGAAAAACCAAGCCCTGCAGAGCAGCTGAGAAAAGAAGGGGTAGTGTATTTTGGAGGGGAGGGTACAGAATCTCTGCGTGGGGGTGGGGCATACCTTCCTTCCCCTGAAAGGCTGTTACCTCACCCTGTAAGTTACTACTTCTGGCACTTGTTCCTAGGCCCTGGGGCCCTTACCTTGTGCACCTGAGGGGGTAGCTCATCCTCCGAGCCCTCTTCGGGCACGGGCTCAGGGTGCCTTGATGCCGACTGCCCATCTTCCGCCCACCCTCCAAGAGGCAACCGAGAGAAATGAGAGGGAGCCCGGGGCACTGTGCCAGGATCTGGAGACAAGTAAGAGTAAGTATACTCACAGAAGGAACACAAGAATGAGGAACAGGCTGGGGGCTGCTTGGGGGGGTGAGTCTTTGGGCCTGGTCCCTCAGACCACTTTCCTCCCCATGAGAGGCCCTGGAAGAACTACTCTTCCCTGCAGCCTGTTTCCTTCTATACCCCCAACTAGATACCTGTGATGCCACCGTAGCGCCTCTGGAAGCCCCCGTGCAGGGCGGTGGTCTCGGGAGCTCCAGGCCGGGGTGCTGCACAGGGATAGCTGGCAGAGCGAGGGATAGACTGGGGGGCCCGGGCGCCCTCGCCCCCTTCATCAGGGGCACTTTCTCCACTCTCATCACTCTCCCGGCGGTGCCATACATGCCGCTCAGGTTCGGCCTGGGCCTGCTGCTTGTGGAGCTGGAGAAATGGGGGGCTCATTAGTGGGGGACAGAAGGATGTCCATCTGAAACAGCTGCCCTCCAACCTGCTATCAGTCAGTTCCTGCTTTATCCCTTCCCTGAGAATCCCTGCCTCAGAGCACCTATTATGTTAATAGTGTGTAATATACCTCTCATCTTTGCAGGTTACATTCACAGCAGATCCCCCGAAGAAGCTTGTGTTGTAATGGCCCTCATTTTACCTATTCATTTGATTCAAGAACAAACCGACTGATGGTCTAAGGGCCAGGCACTCTTTTAGGTGTGCGGAGACAGCAGTGAACAAAACAGACAGAAATGCCAGCCCTTGTGAGGCTTATATACTGGTAGAGGGGATATAGAATAAGTAAATAAATAAGGAAAAAGCACGGTATGTCACATGGTGCTAAATGCTATGGAGAAAACTAAGACAGGAAGACTCAGAAGGGTGGGCAAGGAAGCCTACTGAGAGTGATCAGAGAAAGTCTCAGGGAAACGGCAGCTGCAGAGACCTGCGAAGAAGAAGGAGGAGGCCATCTGGATATCCCAGGGAAGTGGATTCTAGGCAGGGGAAACTGCAAGCGTGTGAAGGCCCTGGATGAGAGCACGCTTAGCTAAAAAGGATATTAAGAAAGTAGATACGGGATTGGGGGTGGCAGAGCAGGTAAATGGCAGAGAAGGGTTTGGAACCCCAGTCTTACTTCTCCGCATCTAAACCCTCCACTCTGTTTTTCAGCTGTGTACTCACCTGGTGCATATAGAGGGCATGCAAGCTCATCTCTGTGGACGCGTATTCCGACAGCATCAGGCTCTGCAGCTGTCCTTCCCACACGCTGCTCCCGGAGCTGGCTGTCCTGGCATCCACCCTGTCTCTCCCAGTACAGACAGACAGCAGCTGTGAACTTTTCCAAGACCCACACAAGCTGCTGAGGGCTGCCATGCCCTCCCATCTTGGCCCCCATTTACTCACCCAGAGCCTGTCATGGTGCTGTGCGCCCGGCCTGTGGGCGCCTGCACAGGTTGCAGCGGGGAGAAGGAGCGCAGGGCAGAGGCCACTTCAGCTCTGTGCCTGGAGCCCTGCAGGTCTCTGGGCAGTGGAGGGCCCCGGCAGGATGAGCCAGCTACTACATTTGCAATAAGGCTCAGGGGCTATGAAAGAAAGGGGTAGGTAGAATTCTTAAGGAACGAAAAAGGCCTCCGGGGTCCCGTAGTATTCTGTATCTCAGGCCCCAGTGGTGCATACTGAAGAGACAGAAGGAAGCCTTCCACCCCATGCCCGGTCCTCAACTCCCAGCTCCTGAAGTCCACTCTGCCCATCATCTCCCAGTCCCCAGGAACACACCTCAGACTCAGATTGTAAGGACTGGATAGACGTAAAGAGGGCATTTTCAGGGAGCAGACCCCCTTGGGCGAGGCTAGCAGCTGCTCCATCCCGCTGAACCTGCTCCTTGAGGAAGCCTAGGAAGGCTGTGCTCTCACGCGGTGGCTGCCAGCCAGGGTTGGTGATGGCAAAGTGCATGAGTGACAACTCTGTCTTTCCATCCTCGGCTTGCTGGTACACTGAGGCCTCTGTCTGCCCAGCAGACAGCCACTGCACAAGGAAGAGCAGAGTAAGCAGGACTGTTCTCTGCCAGGAGCCTTCCTGCACCTTTCCTGTTAGTGGAGAGGCCTTACCCTTGGAGGATGGAAACCACAGTGCATTGTCAATCTTTCCCAGGGGCCCTGGTGCCCCCCACCCCAGGCGGGGCCGCATGCTGAGCAGTTACTTGTGTTGTGCCTTTCTTAAGGGAGCTTGGCCAAGGGTGCAAATTGGCTGAAATCCAGCCCAGGCTCCCAAGCAGTGTGCCCCTGGTATAGGATTGCCTTTGTGTAACTCAGAAGAGGTGTCTTTTTGCGGTTTTCCCAAAGACACTGTATGTTCCAGCATTATCCCTGGCCACCTGGCTCCCCCCTCTCCCAGTACCTGGGGATGACCATGCTGGCGAACATCCATCTGAGCAAAGGAGCAGGTATCTCCCACACCAACGACCTCCACGGTGAAGTTTCGGAAGAAGTCTATAATCTCCAGGGCCCGTGGGCGCAGGCAGAAGATGAGGATGAGGGGTGTGACAATGGGGCTCAGCAACTCTTCCAAAATGAACACCTAAAAGGGCGGGACCAAGGTCACAAGCGAGCAGGAGAGAGCCCAGCCCTCACCACCAAGCTACCAGCCAGTCTCTAGCAGGCCCTAACTCCAACTCCACTCACTGCCTTGTACTGGAAGAGCTGGGCAAACTCGTCCCGGGTCTGTGAGCGGTGGGCATTACCCTGCCAGTGGTCAGGCATGTAGTGGATGTGAGCGAGGATCACGCGGAGCAGCTGCTCAGGGCAGAACACCATGTGCTGGTCCGGGATAAAGGACCTAGTGGGATCAGGGTCATGGTGAGATGTAAGCGTTTCCCAGGAATGCTAGATGGCTTGCTCCCCCCCGCGGCCCTGGCCCACCTGCACACGGTCACGGTGACCCCCAGGAGTGTGACGGTGGTCAGGACGTGTTCCACAGCCAACACATCTTCGTCATAAATGGTGAGGGCAATAAGCACAGCCAGGATGGAGCCAGCGAAGAAGGCTCCATTCTTGGCCAGCAGTGTCAAAAGAGGTGACAAGAAGCAATTCATATACTTGGAGGCGGGCTTGTAGCCACGGTTGAGGCGGGACTGCAGCTCGTGCTCCAGCTCGTTGAAGTGGCGGAGGTAGCAGCGGCCATAGAGTGACCAGCAGCGTGCTCCCAGGGCCCCCGGCTCCCGCTTCAGCACCTCAGCATAGCTGAAGAAGGCATAGAGGATTTGCCATATGAGGATGAGGGGGCACAGCAGGAAGTTAGCGATGCCAATCCACAGGATGCGGTTGCTGAGGCGCTGGGCCAGCTCTAGCCGTTGCCCCCCACGTTTGTACTCGGCCTTGAGGCTCCATTCATTGAGAAACAGAGAGCCAGGTCCCCAGAAGAGGATCAGCTCAAAATTGTACTTGAGGCCACGGGTGAAGAAGACGGCCTCCCCGAGGCCAGGCAGGCGGAAGCGCAGAGGCAGGAGGGATTTGTTAACCAGTGCCACCATGTAGTTCTGGAAACGGAGGATGCGGTGGTAGATGTCCAGTTCTGTCAGCTCACGTTTGTGGATGCAGATCTGGTGCTCCTTCTGAGTCTGCACGATCCGGGCCTGCACTTCCTGCCACGTGCAATACGGAAGGGCAGACTGCAGGGTGAGGTGGGGAAGAGACAAAGTATGGAAGGTGGAGTTGTTGCCTCGACCCCTTTGCCCTGTATTAGAAGTGAGGTTCAGGGGTTGTGAGCTTAAGAGACACTTCCTGACCTGCCAATGACAGATAAGGACAACTGATGCCCAGGTATACACCCATACCTCCCAATACATCTTAGACTATGGGCTAAGTGCCCAACTTCCCAGTCTTACCATAGGGATGCGCAGAGCATGCAGGTAGAAGGAGTGGATCTCCCAGTAGCAGCAAATGTTATAGATGAACTTGATAAGCCGGTGGATCCAGAAGACACCAGCAATGAACAGGATGGTGATAAGGGAGCCATTTTCCTGAATCCTGGTGGGAAAAAAGAAGGGGAGGAGAGGTGGCCCTTGAGGAAGGAGTCTTGGCAGAGACGCTGCTATCCTGAAGTATTTTTGCAAGACTGAGCTTCAGTCAGTTCTGGAGTATGAGTTGCTGCCTCAGACTCCACTCTATTACCCACCTGCTAGCAGAACTCAAGGCTATGGTGTCCTCTTGACTTGCAGCCCTTACCTGGCACTACAGACCTGAGCAGGCAAAAAGGCGTCTGGCAGAGTGACCTTGACAGGTTCAGTAGGGTGAAGACTGTGGTTCACCATCTTGTTGGCAAATAGGATGTCATAGTCCACGCAGCTGACCAGGAAGGTAGTGAAGGCAACCACAAAGAGGAACTGCCTGGAGAGTTGGAAAGAAGGAGTGCAGTCTGAGAGCCAGAGAGGACCCAGTGAAACCCAGTGGAAAGAGAAGAGTATGGAGGTAGCAGAACAAGACTGGGAACTGGAAGGGCCTGGAGAACTCCCAGTGGGCCCTCTCTGCTCCTCAGCCCCACAGAACTGTCTCAGGCCCACTCTTTGCTCTTAGCCTCAGCTGCCACAGCTGCAGCCTGCTTTCCTCACCTCATGGTAACCTCAGCCACCACTTCTGGACTCTTGAAGGTTTCATCCTGTGGGTCTCTGATCTCCAGTCCCTGATTGCCTTTTGAGGTTGTAGTTAAAAGCCCTTGGGGGAGTTTTCTGATTGAAGGAGGGCTTCTTAGCCCCTTCCCCTTTGGCAATGCTATATGGCTTCTCTCTCCCAGGAGGCTCTCTGCCTAGAAGCAGGCCATGGTACAGCCAAGGCAGAACAGAGGCTTTTCTCTGTGGCTGGCATCTCTGAGACCTCCTGACTGAACAATGTAATTTCCACTGGAGCGTTGAGATGATCAAGGTCAAGACCTGAGTTCTTTTTTCTTTTCCTTTTTTTTTTTTTTTTTTTTGAGAGAGAATCTCACTCCGTCACCTGGGCTGGAGTGCAGTGGCACAATCTCAGCTCACCGCAACCTCCACCTCCCAGGTTCAAGTGATTCTTGTGCCTCAGCCTCCCAAGTAGCTGGGACTACAGGCGTGCGCTACCACACGCCTGGCTAATTTTTGTATTTTTAGGGCCTCCCAAAGTGCTGGGATTATAGGTGTGAGCTGCCGCGCCCAACCAAGGCCTGGGTTCTCTTCATGGAAGAGATAAGCCTTGGAAAGCTTTTCTTGTGAGAAAGCTTGGCCGGGCATGGTGGCTCATGCCTGTAATCCCTGCACTTTGGGAGGCCGAGGTAGGTGAATAACCTAACCTGAGGTCAGGAGTTCGAGACCAGCCTGGCCAACTTGGTGAACTCCCATCTCTACTAAAAATACAAAAACAATTAGCCAGGCATGGTGGCACATACCTGTTGTCCCAGCTACTAAGGAGGCTGAGGCAGGAGAATCACTTGAACCTGGGAGGCAGAGACTGCACCGAGCCAAGATCGCACCACTGCACTCCTGCCTGGGCGACAGAGTGAGACTCACTCCATCTCAAAAAAAAAGAAAGGTGAAGCTGTAAGTTTTGGTGCCACACCCAGTCCCTGAACTACAGAGGTTTACAAAGTTTTAGCCTAGGACTGAGTTGTACTGGCAGGTTGGGCCAGGTGTGAGTGCAAGGAGAGGAAAGACTAAGACGTATTCTTTCACCACATCATCTGTCCCTTCTTATACTTACATGAGCTCAAAGATCTCCCCGATGAGCATACATGTGAAGCCATTCTTCTGGTGCAGATTATAAACGTATAATTGTTAAGAAAAAGTGGTCAGAAAAGATAGCAGGTAAGAGCACAGACTTTGGTATCAACACACTCAAGCTTAAGTCCTGGCTCTGTGACTTTCTAGCTGTGTGACTTTACCAAGTTACTTAACCTCTCAACTTTTGTCTGTCCACAGTGGCACATTAGGAATGAATAACACTTATCTCATAGGAGTATTAGGTCTGAGATAATGCATGTAAAGTATTTAACACAGAGCTGACACAGAATGAGTCAAAAGATGTTACTTTTTACGATTATTAACATCCCATCAAAAATGAGGCTCGGCTGGGTGTGGTGGCTCACGCCTGTAATCCTAACACTTTGGGAGGCCGAGGGGAGTGGATCACTTGAGGTCAGGAGGTTCAAGACCAGCCTTGCCAACAATGGTGAAACCCTGTCTCTATGAAAAATACAAAAAATAGCCAGGCATCGTGGTAGGTGCCTGTAATCCCAGCTACGTGGGAGAGTGAGTGATGCAGGAGAATCGCTTGAACCCGGCAGGTGGAGGTTGCAGTGACCTGAGATTGCCCCTGGACTCTAGCAGCAACAGAGACTCCATCTCAAGAAAAAAAAAAAAAAAATGGAGGCTTACCCTTAGAAAGGCTCCACAAATTAACACCACAAAGTAGACACGGGCACACGGATCTTGGTAAATGTGGGCTATCATTACTTAACGATGATTTCACCAGCCTCTTTCAGCCTCAGGATGAGCTCCATTCCCCATTCCAGGTATTAGAGTCAAACCTACCCCCACCTTCCACCAGAGACCCGGCTTAGAGAGACACTAACGGTCCCAGAGCTCCAACTCAGAAACACAAAGGATATTCGAGAGAAGAAGAGGTCAAGGTTTTCAATATGGTGCCACGGTGCTGTGGGATAGGAACAGAGATGTCAGAGCTCTGGGAGAACACATGCCCCTTGCTCCCTCCATGGTCTTCCATCAGCTCTCCCTATGGCTGTCATGTCCAAGAACTCACACTTGCTCCCCTCAGCGACGTGCACCAACAGGTCCTCCTCCCCTGGGGGTGAATCACTGTAGGAGGCCTCTAGGCGCTGGTATTCAGTGTCAAACTGCGCCATCACCACCACCCCCTGTCCACCTTGACCACCTGCCAATGAGGAAGAAGAGACCCTGATTCAGTTCTAGCTGCTGCCCACGAGCTGCCCTGCCTAGTGCAAAAAGGAGTAAGAAAGTACCCTTGGGCTTTGTCTCCACTACCAGCCTGCTTGGCTCAGAGGCAGAGAAGTAGTAACACAAGGAAGGCAGTAAGCTCAGGGCTGGGGGGGCCTTAACTCTGGCCAGTCTGGGCGTCTACTGCTACCTTCCTGGCCCAAAGCCAGAATCTGCCCCTTTGTTGGGGGCTGTTTCATCTTCTATTTAATGGACAGAAAAGTCCCTCCCCCACCCATCCTGGAAACCCTGGTCTCCCAAGAGACTAGCAGGTTGGAAGCACTTTGCAAACAAATGTTTGAGAAAAGCACATGGCCCTACCAGCTCCATGGACAGTATGTGCTCCACGCCAGCCCTCGATGCTCTGCAGCTGCTGGAGGAGAAGATGTCAGGCCCCAGAGAGTGGGGAGTGGGGATATAAAGGAACCCAACCCTCCCACCCATCCACACCCCATGAAGAGGAGGCCAAGCATGGGGCAGGAAGGCTGCAGTGAGGAAGAAGCACCCTTCCAGCCCAGGACTACGAGCACTTCCTCTGGCTGCGCTAAACAGGGCCACTCTTCCAACTCCAGAGTCTCAAGAAATAACTTAGGGACCCCATGGAGAATGAATGGGTACAGACCTGAGGCCAGGGGCCCCTCTGGACTATTTCTTCATTGCCCCACCTTAGCCTCAGAAATGACATACTTCTCAAGGTCCACAAAACCCCAAGAGAGTCTTTCCTGAAGAGGACCTTTCTGGTCACCCTTTTCTTACTTCCCTAGCACCAAAGATCCAGCCGGTGAGCAAACCTGCTGGATGGGAAACCTTGACTGGGTCAGTGTAGACCCCAGATCCTAGGTGAATTTGTGGGTTCCCTAGGTCCTGGGAGCCAGGCATGGTCGTGGTACTCACCTGTCCGTGCAGCCCCTGGGGGCCGTGGATCTTGGCCCAGCCTGGCCCCGGTGG